CCTCTCAGCGCCCCCTGGGTCCCCGGCACAAAGCCAGCTCAGCTCCCACTCCCACAGACCCTGCTGGGTGCGGCGCTCTGCACCCCCAGTCCAGGCCTGCTGCCGGCGTGAAGAGACCTTGGGAAGGTGGGAGACGGGTGGACGGATGGGTGATGGATGGACGGACAGAAAGACAGCTGCCTGGTGAGGCTTCCCAAGGTGGCTGTGCTAACCGCACCGGCCAGGCCAGCCGGGGCAGGCTCTGGGGCCGTACTTACAGGTACGCCTGCTGGAACAAGAGGCTGGAAGACTTTTCATTGACATGGTAGAGTGGAAATGGGTCAAATCCACCAATGAAATCAACTGAAAGAAACCAAGACCCAAATAAAACAAACCCAAACAATGGACAAGATGGCAGAGTGAGGTCGTCCCCAAGCACAGACACCCCTGCAGGGATGCAGAGGCAGAGAGGCAGCGCCGAGGTGGCGCCCCGGCAGGCTCACGCCCCCGGAGGATGAAGGGCGGACTCCCGCTGGGGGAAAAGCTTCTCAGGATGCTGGCGCTCTCGGAGGCTGCGGGGGCTGCCCGGCTCTCCCAGTCACAGCACCTCGAGGCGGTGGCTGCACAGGGCATTGCTGGCCAGGGCTTGCTGAGCAAAGCTAACACATTCTGAACCCCAGGGCTGGCTCCCACGCGGAAACGTTTTAGTGCGACTGACACAGGAAGCCCCTTCCGTTTCTTCCCAGCCAGCTGTGGGCTGAGTGACGGTTTGGGGGTCTCACCACACAAGGACTGAAGGTATCTGGGGGCTGGTCCAGGAGTCAGCCTGCTCTCTGAAGGATGTATGGACCACCTACCCAACGGCCACCTGACCTCTGGAAACAGAGGCTCTGAATTCAGATCCCGACCCCAGAGAAGGCTCTGCCTGTGGAGCCACGGCGCTCTCCCTAGGTGCACGCAGCCCCGCCCACCCTGACTTCGTTCTTCTCTTCAAGGTCTTCCTCTTCCCAGGAGACCCTATTGGAGCCTGAGGCAGTCAGGGCCAGCGAGAGCACCCCAGCGTTGATGCTGCAAATTAAAGCACAGTCCAGGGGGCTCATGGGTGGGGGGACGTACGAATGCTCTCAGACAGGCCCAGCCAGAGCTGGGGCCTGAAGTGGCCCCAGGTGTAAGGAGGCACTTGGTGGGGCAGCGGGGCAGTGAGGGCACGTTCCTCTGTAGGTCAGAACTCAGCCTTCCGCCTGCAACAGCTGTGGGGATCGCTGGGGGCCAGCCCGCAGCACAGGAGCCCCCAGCCCGGGGGAGCAGGGGTGCACTGCGCCCTGGTGCCGCAGCCCGGGACCCTCCTCATCTCTTCTCAGGTGGCTGGACCGTCCCCCAGGCCAGGGGGCCCAGGACAGGCCAGGACCTCTGTGGCACGGGGACCCATTTAAGAGGCCAGGTCTCAGGCCTGGGCCATGACAGGCCCCTGTAGTCGATGTTCAGCTTCCCTTTCCCTCCCCCACTTCCTGGTGGGGCCAGACGGCTCACTAAGGGGCTTCGGCAGGAGGCTGGCGGCCGCACACTTACAGCTGTCCTCCTCCTCGGTGAAAACACTGACCACATAACAGGCACAGATGAAGCCCAGGAGCTGAAAGACATGAGAGGATTCTCAGGGCGAGGACCCGGGAGCCAGAGAAGCATCGTCACGGGAAGTGGGCCCCAGGGCATCCTAACTATGAGGCCACTGCCCTCTCGGCCTCTGTGTCCTCGCCTGTAAAACACAACAAAGAGAGAGATCCATTGGCCTCCTAAGCTCTGGAGTTCTAACGGCGTCGAGTCCCCACTGCGGGTGAGCACCTCTGCGGGTGAGGGGGACACATGAGGGTGAGGGGGCCAGTGGACAAGCAAGTCAGGAAGATGACCAAGCCCCTGCTTGAACAGGGGGTGAGATGCAGAGAGAAGCCCTGAGAGACCCGTAGCCACGGCCTGGATGGGCCCCAGGCCGACTGTGCCCCCAGCGTTGACACCCCCGTTACAGCTGGACTGTCCTCCCTGAGGCCTCTGGCCTTAAGCAGACAACCATTGGGTTTCCCTCCTGGGGAAGCGGGCGTCTAGCGGCAGCCACAGCAGACAAGTTTTGAGCCCTGCCAAGCTGCACGGTTTGGAAGAGAGTGCCGGAGAGAGACACGGAGGCCTTGGCCCAGCAGTCGACTGCGGGCAGAGTGGACGGGGCTGGCTGCTGCCCTGCGGGAGTCAAGGGCTTGGCCCGGCAGAGATTCTTCAGCCAGGCTCCTCAGAGGATGCTCAGACTGCAGGGGAAAGAGGGCAGGCGGACACCTGGGCCCCAGGGCTGCTAGGAGAAAGGGCTTCCACTGAGACGGGCAAGGCTGGCACTGCCCACAGGGGGCCCCTCCGATCTCGCACAGCCCAGGCAGCAGTAACCACGGGGGGAGTTACTCCCAAGTGTGGAGTTTACTGGCCTCGTGGAACTGCGTCCTCTCTGACGAGAACAAGGGGGCCCGGCTCCAACCCTCAGCACACAGCAGCCTGGAGCAGGCAGCAAAGTGCATCTCGACACCGCATGGGCAGCTAAGGAGGGGCCCACAGCCCCCTGTGCTCCCAGGATCCCTGGAGGGGCTGCCCCACCCCAGCTCATCCCGGAGGCTCTGCAGAGGGAAGCCTCTTCCACAGAAGCTGGAAACCTGAGAGGTGGCCCAGGACAGTGAGCTCATGCCCTCTGACCTCCAAGCCCAGTAGGTCAGACCTCCACGCTCTGGGGCATCACCAACTGTCAGATCACCCCCACACCAGGTGGTGGTCTCGACCTCCAGGACGTAGCACAGAGGATGGTCCCAATGGTGGTGGGTCATAGGTGCCCCAGCTGCCCCGGGCAGACGCTCCCCCAACATTCCCCACCCTGCGTGGTGTGGATGGTCCACCCACGGGCTCCTGCACCCTCCAGCTTGGGGTGGCCAATGGGGAGCCCAGCAGGAGACTAGGGGGAGGGAGGGGGTTGGGGGAGAAGCAGGACGTATATCTCCCGGCGCCTTGTCTGCAGGACTGCCTCCCAGCCCCGGGGCCACAGCTCTGCAGACCTCTGTGGTGTACCATAACTCCTCCCTGCGTCCCCTCAGGCCAGAGTGGCAACGGCTCAGCCACAGCCCCGAGGGAGTCTGGTATCCCGTGTGGTCTCCAACAGGGCACCCACCCTTCACTAGCCCCCAGGAATTCACCTAATCTGAATGCATCATCTGTCTTGGTGGGACCTCGCCTGATCAGGGGAATAAACAGAAAAGATGTTTCATGGGGATTCCTGCCATGGAGGAGCTAAGCAGTCTTCTGAGAGAGGTGGTGGGGCAACCGCAGCCTGGGAGGGGACAAGAGGCCGGTGGAGGAAGGGGAACAGGAAGGCAGCCACTGGCGCAGGAGCAAAGGGCTGAGGGAGCGAGAGACTGGCCCTCTGTCAGCGAGACCTCAGAGGGTGCACTTAACCTCTGTGTCTTGGTTTCTTCACCACAGAACAGGCCCATTGTGCCTCCAAGAAGGAGATGGAAGCCCGTCCGTCCAGGCGGCAGGTCAACGGC